ACAGCTTCGGCACCTCAGATTACGCAGGCCACCCATTCACGACTGGGCTATTTTCGATTTCTGCCATGTCGGACCAGAGCGTATTATTGCTACTTCAAATTTGAGACCCATCAGTGGGTGGTATGGTTTGCATCTGGCTAAAGGTCTACCCAAATGTCTTCAATCATGCAAAGTCCATAAAATTTTACGGTGGACTTGCAAGAGACAAATTCAAGGAACAAGCGACCCACCGACGGGGCGTGTTGTCCAAAATGGTGGTACACGTACGACCCACTGGGTCGTATTGTCGTGTGTAAATAGTAGGGCTGCCTCAACCGCATCTACCCACTGAAGCAATCTTCTCGCCTTGGAATCAAGCTTTTGCAAAAACTCGGAGGAAAACTTAGTTGGACTCGGCTACTGTACTCTGCAAAACTTGATGATCTCAGACTTTGGTCAATTTTTGGAATGGCAGCAACGGTAGATCTAATCGCCACTTTTAATTTTAAAAAACTTTGAAAGTAAAGCTCGCAAGTAATAACGAGGCAGAAAGTGGAGAAGAGCTACTGAGGAAATAAGTGTGCTTGGGACCAAAAAAACAGAGAAGAAAATTATGAAAATGGGTTCAACATACTCGCGAAAGCTGCATCATCACTTGAGTTCACTCTGTTAGTTGATTTCTATTCAATTTTTTTCGTAGGTAATTCATGTTCATAAAAATTAATGCTTGGTAAACATATCTGACTTTAGATTCTGTAGTGAAATATATGTGAACACATTTGATAGCAAGCTCTCGTGCAAGAAAGCGTAATATCTAATCTTATGGGAATTAAACAGTAGAGGCAAATCCGAAAATGCAAGAGGATGTAATCAGCAAGCAAAAACTGCGCGACCACTAAAAGGGAAGCTGAGCGAACATTATGTCCACAAAGCAAAAAGGGCTCGGTGGTTACTTCTCATACTTTCGTCCCGGAATCGGAAAAGTATAATTTGTCTACTGTACTCATTCCAATCACAGTAAACTTGAATGTGCTTGAATTAGTTGCTCCAGTTAAATACAGAAAGGCTTGTTTTTGAAGATTTTTGAGCCAACAAATTTTGTCTGCATTCTCTCTGTCTACAAACCAAGCGGCAAAAAATGTCAAATTATCTTTACACTTTGTTTCCAAAGTTCTTTCAAAAAAATGCACAGAAAGTTCCTTTGTGAAAATTCTAGAAGAATAAGTATTTATCCAAAAAGCTCTATGAGTTCCGCATGTATTTTATATTCCTGAGAAATACTACGAGAGCAGGCTTATTTTTACATTTCGTAATGACAAGTGTTCTGTATGCACTCCTTGAGCAGCGTGTTACTAGAAAAAGTAAAGGTTCTCTTCATCAGTAACAGGTTTGGTGAATTATATTTGAACGAATTATATAAAGTCCCGCAAATTAACTAAAATCAGAACATCGCCACTAAGCTGCGAAAGATGAAAAAATCATTGTCTCGATATTCCCCACTCCTTCGACTCTGCAACTCATTAAGCCCAAAAAAGCTAAAAAGACACTCAGAAACTCCTTACCGACGAGCTTCGGCAACCTACTTCTCATGACGCTGATATTTTAGCAAACGGAATGATTATAGCTTTTCTTGATGATCATCCGCTGATAACAAGATCGCTCGCTTTCGAGTTGTGAACAAAATTTCAATGACTTAACAGCAATTCAGCAAGCTGATTCAAAATCCAAGAGACTGTCTTCAATATCTTCATTTTTTGAAGGGAAGCGTAATTTTACTTCCAATTATTGTGTTTGCTCATGACGTCACATCATGTCGGGCACAAGAGCGTCAATGTGTTGAAGAAACAAAATCGTAGACCATAGGCAATGAGGCAGGAATTACAGTAAAATTGTGTTTAAAATAACCGATGATCATAGGCATTATGGAACGCTGATCCCAATATGTAAACCCATCCACAAAGCGACGTTTGGCTTTTATAATCACAATTTTCGCTGCAAAAAAAAAGAGAGCTCATGTATGACTATGAACTGGGTCGGTTCTTCCCATAAACTGGAAATTTTGGTACCAAACTACAGCGGTTCCGCAACGGAAACTTACTAGCAGGGTAGAGAAGTTTAGTTCAAAAATTCTCAGAAAGTTTCGCTCTCAGCGATTTGTAACTCTCGAACGCAATTCATTTCGTAACGGAGTCAGTGACATCATTACTATCATCATCGTCGGGCGCTCCTTTCTTGAGCTGTACAAAATTCTCGAAGCTTTTCAAACTATGATCATGTTCGATAAAAAGGCAAAAACTACAGCACTAAATTCCTCTGAATTTGTAAGATCGTGTTGTTGTATAAGTAGGTGTCTCAATGTATGGAAAATATCGTACAGCTGACAGGCTTTCGCAGCTTGCAACTTTCGATTATCTAGCAAGCTTTTCTTACAAACGTAAGCAAACAGGTTGATATATACTTGTTCGATTGCCCACACATGCATGGATACCACATAACATATGATCATAAGGACGTCCCAAAAGTAAGTACACACTTTTTAATTGTTGATAACTCTCTTTCTAAAAAGTCTTTTGCTTAGCTTCAAAAACTATTTAGTACAGCTGGCTTCAACTTACGAGGAAGGTACTTTCAATGGTCGTGGCTTTTTAAAATGAGATGCATATCATGTGAAGCAGCTTCGAACGCTGATTCCAAACCTGCTTTCCTTTTCTGCGGAGCGCTCTTCTGAGGAGAGTTATGGAACCCTGAAAATCCTATTTTGGGGCGATCCCTAAGTTAGAGAGCGCTGCTATGTGCGTTGGTGGTGCAGTGGTGTAATGGTTAGTTGTTTGCAATGAAGGCAAAAGGCCAATGTTTCGAATCCAGTGCAGAGCGTACCATTTTGCACTACAAATGTGAGTTTCAAAACTACTGTAACTTGTCTGCAGACACCATAATGTCCTTGGCAAATGTGACTTGAAGAAAAACTTTTCTGGCAGAACCGCTTGCTTGTTGAGTTTTGGTACTCTTCGCAAGAAAATTCATGTACAGAGATGAAGCGAAATTACAAAGTGAGCAAAACACAGACATTTCTCACAACGGGAACAGCGTATAAAGAAACCTCCGCGTAATTCTCATGCTCGCAAGTACCCATTAGGTTATTAGGGGAACAATATTGGAGTGGCGTTTCAAATGAATTCAAAACCTTTCGAATGAATTCAATCAAATCGGATTCGAACCATCGACCTTTCGCCGCTAATGTCAACAACTGCCATTATACCAATGCACCACCAACGCACGTAGCAGCGTTTTCAAACTCAGGGAGCGCCCAAAACAGGATATTCAGGCATTCATAACTCTCTTCAGAGGAGTGCTCCGCAGAGAAGGAAAGCAGATTTGAAATCAGCGTTCGAAGCTGCTTTAGACGGTACGCATCCCATATCAAAAGGCCACGGCCATTGAGAGTACTTCCCTTGCTAGATATACAGCATAGTGCGAATTATGCATCGTTCATCATTACTGTGGGATTACGGTAAGAACTTCCAGCAAACAACGCCATTATGAATGAGGCCATCTGAGAAAAAAGTCCAAAAAAGTCTAAGGAGTTGTGTAGCAGTGTTTCCCAACATGCTAAATAGACGACTTTGAACGACTCTTTTATACGTTTCAAATGATTTGTCACATCTCTGTGAAAACAGTGAAAAGTTGTTGCAGTTTACCTTGGCATAGCTCATGAAAAAAGCCTCACGGTGAAGTGCGAACTTTTCAATCATAATCAGCAACTCAGTTTAGCTTACCTACAAAATTTTTAGCTTATTGTGTATCTATTTTGGGACAAATTGTAGCCACTGATGGCATGAAAGTTCTTGGAAGTTCCTACCGTAATCCTACCGTGGGAAGCGCGATGGATGGTTTGCTGCATACTGTAAATGTAAGTTAGGGCCTCCTCTGCCGAAACTTGAAGCTAAGCAAAAGATGTTGGAAAAGATTTATTGATAAAGGTGTGTACTTACTTTTGAGATACCCTGTATATAAAGATGATCCTTTATAATCAGCGACTGTAGGATGAAATTATCAAATTCTTGAATTTTTCAAGTGTGCTTGAAACACCGAAAAGAGCTTCTCCGCGCAGCTTTCCACTTCAACAGGCAAAAGATTTTCTTAAATTTTGAGTGAGCAGTTAAAATGATTCTATTGCACGAATCAATTACCATGGTGGAATGAACCCTAGCGGTGACACATGAGATTGAGCAACGCAAATACGCGAGAACTCGAAGATTCAGATGTGCTTTTGATGTACTCCTAGAGTTCTCACACGCATTTCTTAGAGGGGAGTTGAGTTTGCTATACTTACAAGATGTGAATTTTCGACTGGTTTATGATTCCTTTCTGCGCAATGCGGTAAGATTTGATGAACAGAAGATAACTAGTCTTCGAAGCTCTAGTCATCAACTCACTTATAATATCTGAGGCAAAAATGCATTAATTCGGCTTGCCTACAATACCGAACGAGCTCAAACTGCAAGTTAACAAGTACCCCATAGACAAAATCTTGATAAAACAATGTCTGTCTTGGACATGGCGCAAAGCAAAACTGCGATGTGTTGGTAAGTAAGTTAAATAGAGAAACAGTAGGCAGGCATGTAACAGAAAATCCAGAATAAAAAACAAGATACTTCACGACAATATAGCGGATGATTAGTGAGATAAAAAGATAACCAACCAGTTTCACAGGAAGAATCCCCTCAGGACTGACAAGGCTCTGCCCTGATAATTCGGGTAAAGTGCCGATTCAAACGAAAGAACTTAAAAAGCTATTGAGCAGTTTCAAACACCTGTCTGCGAAATATACTATATACACTATTTCAGTTGGACGAAACTAGCCATAACAGCAAGGGATGCACAACAGAAGAAGTTCGATTTGGCATTGACTGCTTCAGCCGTAAATCAAACAATCGCGTCTCATAGACACAATTTTATATAGTAACATTAGTCCTCTTTTTCTCAACAATATGCAATAAATACCTATATCAAGTACTTACCATATCTACATGTGTATCGTCCGTGTATCCAAAAAGATTCCTATTTTCTTGAGAATTGCGGCAGGGCATTTTTGGTCTCAAGACCACCTATAATATAGAGAAATGTCGATTTTGAGGAAAAAAATCACTGACACGCACCTTCTTCGGTTTCTTTATATCAGGCTGCATATCATTGAAGAAATCAATATCTTCGCCGGTCGGCGACTGATTCGTTTCGGTCTGATGCAAGATACAATATAAGGCTACACGAATTTAGAAAATTCTGTACCGAGACCTACCTTTTTTCGCCTCCACTCCTCTATTTTGTCTTCAACAGCTTGCTTTTCGTCCCAATGTTCATCCCATCCTGTCGACGATACTGCGCTGGGATATGGATCCTCAGGAGCGGAATGGCGTACAACAACTGCAACAATTCTTTTTGGAATAACTGATGCAACAGTTTGCACTCAAATGATGATTAACTGACCAGTAAACGGTAATTCGCCAATATTTTCACGTTTTCGCATAAAACACATAGCCCTCTTGAACAAACCGAGTATTGAATGAAACAAACGTATCACCCGGCCGCATAGCAGAGAAGCTAGGCTCATAATGAGCCTACAGAATAGAAAAAATCCTAAAATTAAGATGCAATGGAGGAACTGTGAACGGGAGAACTCCGCTATAAAGGTAGAAATGTTGTTGAGCTAGCAAACAACAGGAAGAAAATCAACTGAAAAAGACAAGATAATGAAATAGAGAGAGCAAACTTAGTGCTGGATTCAGAAAAGACCTTAGCAAGAATTCGCCGAGGAATTAGCCGCCCATACACAGCACAACATTCAGAGTTCCCTGTTTGTCAAACGAAACGAAGTCGACAACCTTGTCGGTGATAGAAAACCCAGTTGATTCGACAGAGCCGTGAATTCAATTTGAAAAGTTGTGATTACGCCTTACACACTGAGAGCGACGACGTGGTGGGGGGGGGGGGGGTCAGAATCTCAGCGCACAAAGATGTCCACGCTCCAGTCACTGGATCTGATGTCTATTCTGATTTCGTATTCATCGAAAAATAAACTAACTAATAAACTAATGGGATATTAGACAGGCAGGTCGAGCAACGAGTTGACATCTTGTGCCGAAGGCTAAGAGTATTATAAGCTTGGAGAATCGTTCCAATTTCAGCGAAAGGTGTTCTAAAGCCACTAACATAGAACTGTATGGTGTTCGAGTATATGTGGAGTTTTGCAGTGGCGAAGGGCAATGGGCAGTAGGCTTTCACTTTGCCATACCGGTTTTACTTTGTAGGGCCATACCGGTTTTGGTTTGTATTCACCGTAAGCAGGAAAGCAGTCTACTGCAGAATGCCAAGCTAATTGCATAATGCCAAGCTAAAGCTTATCAATAAAATACGCTGCAATGGATGGAAGAATATAAAATAAAAAGGTTATGAATGAACTAGTGTTTTACGAACCAAGCGGACCCATTATTGAATGGGCGGGCAGATGAAACGGTTACTCATAGCTTAATGTGCCACAATGTCAAATCAACCTGCTTTTAAGAGATAGAAATTTATCTGTAGTCGGAATTGGAAGTGACGTGTACAAGCAGTCACTGCAGCTGATTAAAGACTCGATGTAAATAAAGGATACGTTCGTGTTTGAAAGGCAAATGATCGAAAAGTTTGCAAAATGCTGATCTTCTTCTGTTAGGCCTCTATTGAAATGTACTAACAACACGCTTTTCGATTCGTGCCATTTGTGAGTGAAGCATTTTCTGTACTTAAGACCGATCATTCGACTCAGTGTCCCGCCAGCGAGCGGTTGGTTGGCGCCTTACCTCTGCCGCCTTGTCGACCGAGATCTGATTATTGGTTTTTTCCTTCTCCTACCCTACTTCATTGGTGTTATTTCTATTCGTCCGGGCTTATACACTTCTGTATATTCATTCGTCAGCCTCCACTATTCTGGGAGTTGCTATTTCGAGCCTTTTTCCGTGTCGGTGTGAAGAGGTTGCTGTTATTGCTTGCTATTTGCTTCTGCGTTCCGACCGTCTGCATTGGCCTACTGGTGGTCCTGCATCCTTACCGCAGCTATTCCTCCACCCTATCTGTATTCTGTTGCTAGTTCACTCAGCTCTACTGCCCCTTCGTCTGCTCCCATTTCGTCTCCTGTTGTTGGGAGTTTTACCGCATCTAATCCCCCTCCCCCCGCAACCCCTACCAAGAGCAGATCATCAATTTTTTTCTTTGCTGTCTCGCTGCTCCATCTCTGACAGCATTCCCACTATCGATCAGCCTATCTTTTGCTGAGCTGTATCGATTATTCTGCTGTTCCTTTCCTGAGTTCTGGTATTGCTGATGGAGACCCCCGCATACCCCCTCAGGCCCATCGACAGGCTGAAAAAAAGGAAGCTAGAATTCACTTCCCCATCCCCTGAGCTTGACAAGGCAGCAAACGATCTCACCAAGGACGAAACGCTGCCCCTATATGCTAGAACCATCATAGCATATCTGCTAGAGTCTAGAAAGCAAATCGATGAACTCCTTCTACAGAACCGTGAGTTGAATGATCAAATAGTTTCCTTAAATGAGCAGGTTACTAGTCTTAAGCGTGAGAATGACAAGTTGAAATCTTTGAGCTCTCCTAGTGTACGTCCCCCTGTTTATCGTGAACCTGCTCCTCAACCTGCTCCCACTGTCCCCACGGTCTCGCCCAACGTTGATGAAGAAAGGAAGAGATCCTTAGTTTTTATCGGTGTCCCCGAAAGAAAAAATGTTGCTTGTAGGCTTAGAGTAAATCACGACTATATGTGCATTGAACAAATCCTTGATTATCTCGGTGTAGAATGTCGTCCTCTTTGTTTTTACCGCATGGGGAAACCCCAGTATTCCCATAACCGGCTCCTCAAGGTTGTTTTACCGTGTTCGTATTTTGCTAACCTGGTTTTACGTCGAGCACCCCAACTAAAAACTTTCCCCTTACAACGGGGTATTTTTGTTCGACCCTCTCTTCCTAAGGAAGAGAGGGATCGGCTTCGCAAACAAAGGGTGGCTCAGCGTAATCAGGCTAAAAGTACAACAACTACTACCTCTCAAGAATGTTCTCATAATGTTTCTCATAATGTTGCTCCTGATCATGCTGCTTCACTAGGCACCAATCTTATGTCTTCTCAGTGTGATGAATATCGTTTTGATGAATTGAATTCTTTAAACGCTTAAATTTTCTGCGGACTGTTGATAGCTCACTTAAATGTCTTTTGGCTAATGCAAGATCACTATGCAGGAACATGGCGAGTCTAATATTTCTTGTCGCAAAGTACAATCTAGGAATCATTGGAATTACTGAGAGTTGGCTTAATCATAATATCAGTGACAGCTCGTTACTAGGAGCTCTTGATAATTACGTGATTCACAGGTGTGATCGCGTGGAGAAACGAGGAGGGGGAGTAGCTTTGATCATGACCTCTAAGCTTAACCCTCACATGGTGTTCAGTGAATCTGAACCCGATAGTTATGAACTTCTTTGCACCGACATCTATTCTTACAAGACCGTGCGTCTTATCTTGTTGTATAGGACTCCCTCCTGCTCGAGTTATAAAACGATGCAAATGATTAATGCAATCACTGATCTCATTGGGTGCTGCAACTCCGTTTTGATCATGGGTGACTTCAATTTGCCAGGAATCAATTGGACTAACCTCTGTGTTGTGTCAGGACATGCGTCCGCTGCAAGGGATTTCTTGGATATGTGTCGCTTGCATGGTCTATCCCAAAAAGTTTTTTCTCATACACTACGACATAATATTCTTGATTTGATCTTAACTAATGATGAGCATTTAATCAGGGAGGTAAATGTTGGGGCTCCTCTTGGTTCAAGCGATCATGCAACCGTTAGATTTGTGATCACCAATCCCACCGTTCAAACTGGATACATAAGACGTAGAGATTTCAAACATGTTAATCAGGATAAACTTATTGATTACTTGAGAGGGGTGGATTGGTACGGATCATTCGGTACAGTTGAGTCCATCAATGAAAAGTATGAACTATTTATTCATATACTACATCATGCCATAGAACTTTTTGTTCCCTTGAGGGATATCCCACTGGCAACAATCAATCTACCAAGCTACCTCCGGGTACTATATAATAAAAGGGAGCGTGCGTGGAATAGGGTGGCTGACAGCGGACACGTGTGCAATTGGGATGAATTTATTAGAATCAATGATATATTCGCCAAAAGATTGAGAAAGTACAATGCGTCTGTAGAACGCAAGATCATTGACTCGGGAAAGAAGGGTTCGTTTTTCAGGCTTATTAGTTCTAGACTCAAGGAAAAGAGCAGGATAGGGGTATTGTTGTCTGATAATGGGACTGTAGTAACAAATGATTTCGATAAAGCCGAATATTTTGCAGATGTTTTTGAAAATGGCTTTCAAAGGGATTGTTCCATTGATCATGGAGGTCACAGTACTCCTTGTTGTGCTGTGATGGATGATGGACCGTGGTTTTATGGTGAGGAAATCTACAAGTTGCTGATCGCTTGGCCCAAGTCAACTTCCGTGACACCTGATATGGTTCCACTAGAGTTCATAAAGTTGATTGCGCACGTGATAGCCGGGCCCCTCCAGTTCCTGTTCAATTTGAGTATGATGAAGGCCGAGGTACCGGATAGGTGGCGGGCTTCATATGTGACTCCGATTCCGAAAAAGAAACCGTTTACCTCCCCTTATAACTTTCGCCCCGTTAGCATTACCTCAATTTTTGCTAGGCTCTTTGAAAAGATACTGAAAAGGCGTATTATCAAGCATCTAGAGAGCAATAGAATTATTTCTCCTGTCCAACATGGTTTTCAGAGTGGTAAGTCCACGACGACAGCCATGTTGCAATGCCTCAATGATTGGACACAAAACTTTGAGAATAGGCTGAATACCGATGTTATTTATTTGGATTTCACCAAAGCTTTTGATAAAGTACCACACCCTAAGCTGTTGCAGAAATTGGTTATGGTAGGAATACACCCACGTGTTGTGGCGTGGATAAAAGCCTTTCTGGAGGACAGATCTTTCACGGTGCGTGTTAATGGCTCTTTCTCCAGTCTGAGGAAGATGCATAGCGGTGTGCCACAAGGTGGTGTGCTTTCACCTCTGCTATTTAATATCTATACTCACGAGCTTCCTTCTATTCCTTTAAGCCAGGGGATTTCCTGCAGCGCTTTCGCTGACGATTTCAAACTGTATGCAGTTGTCAAGGATGTGACAGACTATGAACGGTTGCAAAGAGCACTCAATGAGGTTTATGATTGGTCGCAGGAGTGGTCTCTTCCTATTTCTACAGAGAAAACTAAAGTGATCCATATCGGTCCAAAGACATCTAATCCAAACTTTAAGTATGTCCTTGGGGAAACTTATCTTCAAGAAGTTGATTCTATAAGAGATCTGGGCTTCATGGTCAAAAGCGACCTCACCTTCGATGATCACTGCAAGTTGATAGCAGATAAAGCTACTAGATCGGTATATAACTTGTTCAGGGCTTTCGCAATTAATGACACGGCTTCTCTATTGAAAGCTTACAAATCGTTCATCAGACCTATGGTTGAATATGGAACTGTTATTTTTTGTCCTCATTTGCATAAAACGATTGACTATATGGAAAG